AAGAAAAAGGAGAGACTGACAGAATGAAGGAAAGGGCCGTGGCAGGGAAAGTCAGAGCCGCAGGACCTCGGGCAAAAGGAAGTAGTAGGTACAGAAGGAAAGCAAGAGATTAAAATACAGGAGCATGGGTGTGGTGGCCTGTAACCCCAGCACCTGAGAGGTGACGTTAAAAGGAACACGAACTTAAAAGTCCTCCTGGCCTACAAACTGAGTGTGAGACCAGCCTGGGCTATGTATCTCAAATAAACAAAAGGACCCCCCCCTACACACACACACACACACACACACACACACTCTCCATTAAAAAAGGCTAAGGCTAGGCATGTAGTTCCCTTGGCAGAGTGTTTGTCTAGTGTGGGAGAAACTCTGGGTTCAATACCCATCACCCCCTAAGCTGGGCATGGTGGTTCATGCTTGTATTGTCAACAGTTAGGGCAATAGAAGGAGGAGGAACAGGAGTCCAAGTCATCCCCAGTTACATAGTGAACTCCAGGCTAGCCTAAGCTACAAGCATCTGGTAGGTGGTGACCCCTTTGGGATCAAACAACCATTTCACAGGGGTCACTTGGGAACAAAGGCATATAGAATATTTACAGCTCATTATGGAATAGCAACGAAAATAATTTTAGGATTGGGGTCACCACAACAAGAGGAATTGTATTAAAGGGTCTCAGCATTAGGAAGGTTGAGAACCGCACCAATCCCGAGAGAGAAAAACAGAGACACGGACAGAGACCAGGCTGAGGCCAAAACTGGGACTGTGGGTGCAGGGTGGCTGGGGGCATGTCAGTGGGCTGCGGTCCAGCTGGGCTGGGAGCAGCTCTAAGGGTAAGGAACAGAGGTGAGGGAGGTGCCCTGGGCCTCCGGATCCTCGTGTTTACCTGAGGCAGGCATGGCAAACAGGCGTCCAACCTGGACCACAGTAGCCAGGGTAGGCTGGGCTGGGCCGGGCCGCAGTCCTGGCACCAGTGGGCCCCGACACGCCCACCTGTGGCCTGAGTGGTGAGTAACACACACTGGCACCAGGTTAGATGGTGACACATTCGTGGACAGACACAGTGACGCACAGTGACCAATATAGGCAGATCTGCAGTGACAGGTCTGGGGGACCGAGACGCAGTGTCTCACAGACACACAGAGTGTTTTTATGCATAGGCCCGGTGACAGACAATGGCAACAGAAGCACACACAACGATACACTAAAAGACACTCAGAACAAGAGAGAAGCAACATCAAATGACCCTAAGAAAGACAAAAAGCCGTATGACGAACAGAGCTCAACACACACACGCTCACGCACACGCATACACACATGCACACACACACACACAGGTGAACGGCCCAGACTGCTGGCCTCTGTATGTGTGCCTCCTGCCATTCCAAGTTGTGGCAGGAAGTGGAAGTTACCCTACAGAACAGTGGAGGTCCAGGGCACTGAGTCTAGGCCAGATGGCCTGCCTAGGACCCCAATAATTAGCTGGGTGACATTGATCAAGTCAAGACACCTTTCTATCTCGATTTTTTTCCCCCATAATAAAGCGAGGGGGGGGCCTAGAAAAGGATTATTCAAATTACTCATTACTTGTCAAGTTAGGGGGTTTTTTTGTTGTTTTTCTTAAGAGACACAGACTCACATGTAGTCT